AGTTGTCGGTAAATGGACAGGTAAGCTATGCAGTTAGAGCAACAAACTTCACATTCTCTGAATTAAGACAAACATTGCACGTATTCAGACAAGTATTGAATAATCTGCACAATAATTTATGAATTATTTCACGCATCCTTTTCGTTGTCCTGTGTACGGTAGAATTGCAACACTAAAGCCGTGTGCTGTTTTAATACCACCTTCTCGCATCTCACAATTTGACAGGTTCCAACGTTCCAAGCTGTTGTGAGAGATCGTATCATGAACAAGACCTTCATCATCATCAGTCCACACTTCTCAAGCTTCGTCAAAGAGGACTTTGATCTTTGGTTCCATGACAGACTGGTTTCAGTTCTTCCAAGTTTCACTCCAGAGATGCTCGAGTTTACGATAACAAACTTAAACTGCGCAAACTACCATGTTGTGTGAGTAGCACTTTAACAACTAAGATTTTAACCCATCAAAGTACAATCTACTTTTAAAAAAATTGTTTAAGAGAATTTTGCTTCAATCTTTTCAGTGTGAGCGGGATAGTGAAAGTGTCCTCTGCCATGCCAGTTCAAAGACAACAGGAAATTGCTGAAGTTCTGCTGGCCTACCTGAGGAAATATGTCAGTTCCATCAACACACCAGGTACATTGACAGAGTAACCTTTTCATTTGTCTACCATCTTTAAATTGGGAAAGTGAAATAGGACAAAAGATGACTGAAATGCCACTAAGATGAAAGATTTACCTCTGATGTTTTACTCATTGAAAATAGAGACAAGGAAAAGCAATGCATATTCTAAAATCCATACACAATGCTCAGTTTGCAGGGTGGGAATTAACACTGATGCTGAATGGATCGAAACAAACTTGGGTTCCTTTGCCCAATACACAACATATTATGAACTCAAAGTCTTCAACCTCTCGCCGGTAAGTCAAACATTTCACAACAAGCTTGGCTTAAAAAACAATGCTGCACTAAATTCACAACTTGACAGGTCCACACATTGCTTTGCGGTGCAATGCCAAATAAGAATAAACTCATCCTTCCTCTTGGTTTGCATCATCAGGAGGCAGTTGTAGGTGCCCTTTCACCACAACAAAAGGCAGAGCTGATAACAGATCCAGACAGCGGTGCTCTGCAGAATGCCACGTTCATCAGGGCGGTCCTCACAAGCTTGACCTTGTCCGGCAATATTGAGCAGCTCGCTGAGTTCTTCCAGAGTTTTGCAGAAATCAGCAAGCAGGTAAGTGCCTAACACCTTGCAAATGTAGCAAACAATACACTTCTGCTGATGAATGTTGACTGACAACTCCAAAAAGTTGCCTTCATTCCCACATTTATATGTATTTGAGTACATCTGTGTACCATCAAGCTCACCATTTTTTTCAAACCATTACATAAAGACATTTGCCGTCTTCAACAGACACTTGAATGTTTTTGTTTCCAGAAAAACATAACTTTCATCACAAATGCAGCTGTACGAGATATCATCTTGAGCACAACTTTGACAGCTCTCGAACCTCATTTAGTCAACTTTGAACCAGAAGACTATCAGCTGTGGTTCCAGGATTATCTTTTTCCATTGCTACCAAGCCTCCGTCTTGGTAGCTTGCGGGTGATCCCAAGTAACATCAGCTGTGCATCCTATGAAGCTATGTAAGAGATACTTCTCAGCAAAAAAAATGAAGCATTTTGAGGTTTGTGTGATATTAAATTCAAGGTCCAGAAAATACAACGCTTGCTGCTTCCTTCTCTGTAGACACACCGGACTTCTGGCAAGTTTGCAGTTCCTGCCACTGGATCTTTCGGTGGATGTGAGATCAAGCGTTGAGTCCCTCAAACAGACATTCCCACGTATGTGTCAAAAATATTTGGAAGAAAAAAATCTCCTTTCAAAGTTCTCCATTAGCATAGTTCAACCATACTTGCAGCACTGTATTGATGCCATACTTTATTTCATGTTTTTCTCAAACAGGTTGTTCAGTACAAGATTCTTTTACGGTAAGATTGTTTCCATGAATCTAACTCTTAGATGATACAAAATGTATGGAAAAATGAAAACAAACAAGTATTGCTCAATCTCTATGTAAAGATTGCAGAGCTAAAGTAATGTAGAATTACGTAGCTTTATCCACTCTACTAATAATTTTTGCATTTCTTGTTTTTCTTCAGTGCAAGAAGACACCTGTCGATGGTAAGTCTAAATATTATCACCCATTCTTATTTTGCTGTAACAGTCACAATTTGACAAACCAATGACTGATGTACAAATATGTTCTTTTACCAGAGAGCCACATCTGTGCTGCAGTCAATGGGTGAGTGGTTTACTGATTAATCCCGTGCACAGTTTCCCAAGCTCTTTTACACAGCATAATTAACGGGAAACTCTGCTTTCCTTTGTGTTTGGCTCAGATCACAACTCCAGCAAACACTGGCAACTGACGCGTCGTCCACAGCCTTGTGCAGTTTTACCATCACTGAACATGCTTGTTCCTTGGTAAGATTGTTCTATGTAATATCAACTTCAAAAAATATATTATTATTTGCCAAATAGAGTACAACGCTTATACTGATGTCCATGAGCAATAACAATTTTGCTCTTTTGTTGTTTGTTTGTTCATTTTTATCTCCATGTTTGTTTTCCCCTTAAGGCTACCCACCTCACACAAACAAACGTGATCACACTGTTGAAATGTTCATTGGATAGTCAAAGGACCTACCCAGTTGAAGTTTGGAAGCTTTTCTTCCAAAAAGCTTCTGATCTGGACCAGGCTCTCGACACATTTGCCAGCATGGTAAGTCGAGTCAGACGTGTTCAAAGTTTTTGTGCTTTTCCTCTGCACAATCTTTATCAAACTAAGTTCCTTTCCCCAAATGTAGACCCCCAACAACAGCAGCCCAGTTTCGCCAAATGCCCTTGAAGCCTTGGGAGAGGTGAAAATTGCCACCTTCAGCCAGGAGCAACTAAAGAATGAGGACTTCATTGCCAACTGGTTCCAACAAAAGATCCGTCCATTCTTGGCATCACCATCCACAAACTTCCTATTCTGTCTTAGCTCCTTAAACTTCAGCTGCCAGACATATCAGATTGTGTAAGTAAATGTGTTACATTACCCCACTTTGAACAAAAGTGTAAATTGCTACCAATGTTTGATGTTAATGGTTTGGGCTCAAATTTTAGCGTTGAGGCATTCAGCAACCAAAGAGAACAAATGGACAGTGGCACTCAGCAAACAGTCTTCACTCATTTCATCAAATCATTCCTGTCAAGAAATGATTCATCAGGTAAAACCATGCTCTGTGGATAGGTTTCATATTGCCTTGTTGGTGCGTGTTGTTGCCATGCAGCCAATTGTCATGCTTCTTCTTTTGTGCAGATCCTGGCTGCATCGCATCAGTCAATGGTAGTCGAGACTGGCTGCAGACAAACCTTGGCAACTTCTCTGGTTTTGCAACCGTTCAAGAATTGCAAGCCCTCAATCCACTCTTATCAAGTGTAAGTGCTTTCTGCAGTGGTTAAGTTATTCTTAGAAAGAAACATCTAGTCACTTGCAGTTTTGCAAACACGTCGAGTTTTCTTTCATAGTTTTATTCCTTTCTGTAGACTGAAATTTTGGCAGAGCTCACTCCCTCTCAGGTGGCTCAGATGCTACTGACATCAGGGACCTCCGCTGACGTGGCCTTTATTGATCTTGTCTTTTCCCGACTTGAGAACGGCAATGCTCTTGACAATCTGGATGAATTCCTGACA